AAAAATACTAATATAATTATTTTAACTGCAGAATTTAAAATTACAAGTTGCGATAAATCTACAAATCTGGTAACTGCTAATACAATTACAAAAAACGTTTGTAACTTTACAACCATTAATCTAAATATTTTATTTCGTTTAATTTGATTGGTTGACCTGAATTTTATTAGGTCAGGTCATAAGCTTGATCCGACCTGATGTTGACCTGAAAATTTGTCTACCTGACTTGGATTTTTCAGGTTAGGTCAGGTCGGGTCACAGGTTGACCTGATCTGATTCGAAGCTCTAATAATGAGCAAACTATAAAAGATATATCACAAGATATATATCAAGAAGAAAATGAATATCGACAAGAGAATCAACTAGATATAGTTGATAAAGATTCTAATACAAATTCTGATACAATGAGTTTAATTTTAATGAAGAAGATTATTCTAATAATAATTTAGATGCTGAAGTAGATAATAAAGAATATAATGATTATGATGATGATGAGAAAGAGGAGGAAGAGAATGATGATGATGATGATGATATGAACGAGGATATAGATAAATATACAAATAAAGATATATCTAATAAAGAAATCATAGAAGAATTAAACTTTTACATTTAAAATCCTTTATACAATTTTACAGAATCTGCATATAATGATATATTGAAGATATTAATTGTAAATAACATAAGTTTATATAAAATTAAAAAATATTTAAAAGAAATAACAGGATTAATTTCAGTATTTTATGATATGTATGAAAATTCTTGTATCTGTTATACTGGAAAATATGAATCTTGTAGAATTTGTCTAATATGTAATTCTACTAGATTAAATACTAGAGGCAAAGCAAAAAAGGTTATGCTGTATCTTTCAGTGAAAGACAGATTATAATTACAATTTAATGATACAAATAGAGCAAAAGAATTATATTATTATTATGAATATATTATAGATAAAGATAATGATTATTTAAATGATATTTTTGATGGAAAAATTTATAAAGAACTAGTAAATGAAAATTTATTTGAAGATAAAAGAGATGTTGCCTTTACAGCATTTTGTGATGGATATCAGATTTTTAAACAAAAAACTGATGATTATTGGTTATTTCTTTAATAAATAATAATTTACATTCTTCGTTACGAGTAAAAAAAGAAAATTTGTTAATTCCTTTTTTGATTTCTAGACCAAATCAACCAAAGGATTTTAATACATTTCTACAACCATTTATTGATGAAATGAAAGAATTAGAATGTAAAAAATCATATTTAAACTTATTTATTATATAAAATAAAATTAATAATATTATTCTTTATTTTAAGAGAAGTCTCTTGTTATGATGCATATAGTAAAAGTAATTTCTTACTTCATATTCATATTATTGTATAGATTGGTGATATTTCAGCTCTTATAAAAATAATGAATATCACTAGATATAATTTATATTGGGATTGTAGATTTTGTAATATTGAAGGAAAATACTCAAAAAAATTTAAACACACATTATTTTTTATTTTTTTTATTTTTAACAATTCGGGTGATGGTATGTGACGTTATGACTAGAATCTTATAAAACTATATATTGGCCACATCCCTTAGGTCTTCTCTGCCGGCTCATATATCTATTGGCAACCTTCACCAATAAACTGGCCCAGATGTTGCCTTATCAGTGGAATTAAGCCTTTATAGAGAATTTGACACCCCTCTGGTTACTACCCATCCGGAAACTATATACCACTATAGGACTGAGAGATCCATTACATTGTATACCTTGCTAGGGTATACTCTTACCCAACCAGTGCCGCAAGGTTCATAGGATTATTACCACAAGATTTGCCTAAATAGTAAACTAGCAGGGTGATGATCAGGCTATATCGATAAACTTCTTAGAAATTGAACCTAACCTCAGACCCAATGACATGCTCGATTAGACGATGTTGCGACATGCAATGCAGTTTATTATCACCGTTGATCAAATCTACTAATTTCTGGTCAATCACTTCCTTAAAGAATATACAATCTTATGATCATATATGGAAATAAGGGCCCCTGCTGTGTGAGACGTAAGACTGTATCTATTACAGACCAATCAGCGAAGGCCAAGTTTCTGTCGATCCCAGGCTTCATTTGCATCTACTTGTTCTTATGCATAGCAGTATTTAGGCATAATTAACGTTGATTGATGGATCAATCAACCAGATTTGTATGCATATTAGTATAAACGCTCATCGTATTCAGTACATATCAAATTCTTATGAAAATCATCTAGTTTTATGTATCGGCCGATACCTGAACTGATGGCCTATTGCTGTGTAATGAAACTTTAGCTTAATAGGAGACTCGTGGTTTAACCACTAAGCCAGGGACGCTATTCCCTTCTTTAATATAAAACTTATTTTATAACATATGTTTTGCTCATATTTATAATCTTATTGGTGAAATTTAGGTAGATTTTAAACTTTTTAAATTATTAGATATTGTAGTAAAACATGTAAAAAATATTAAAACTTTATTTGTATACTTAGTAGTAAGAAAAAGAAGATAGAAAGAAAATTTAATTTCAAAATCTATTCTTTTAAATACAAATGAAATTTTATTTAATGAAGAAAACATATAAGATTTATCTGCTAATTTACCTTCTTTACCTATTAAAACTAGGTGAAATTCTTGATTTAAATTTATAACTTAGATGGAAAAATATTATTAACATTCTATAACATTTTTTATTGAAAATTTACAGAAAAAAATTCTAATGCTATTAAAGAATTAAGAGATTTTTTAGAATCAAAGTCAAATTTTTTATATTGATAATTTAATTAAATTTATTTCATTTAATGCACAAAGGTAAATATTAAATATAATATTTATTTAAATATCAAAAATTAAAGTTTTCAATTTTTTAGATTAATGTTAGATCTTGAATTTTTTAAATAAGAAATCTGGCTATTGCATCCTTTATTACTTCAAGAATTACACAAACAAAAGCTTTTTTACAAAATAAAACAAATAATCAATCATTTAGTGTAGAAATGATACAATTATTCATAAAAATTATGAATATCTTACTCCAATTTTTTCTGAAGCTTTTAAAATAGCATTAAAAAAATTTGAAAAACGTAAATTTTCATTCTGCATTACCGCTATTCAATGTTTTAATTCTCAATTCATTCAATCATTTCAAAATAGACATATTTTAGTTAGTTATAATTTAATTCCAGAATTTCAAAATCCTTCTAATTCTATTATAACTGAATAGCCAATTTATTGTGGTTTATCAGAAATTTTCGAGGATGGTAATTTAGATTTAAATCAATAATAACAAGAAAACTTTCATATCAAAAGTAGCGTTAATTTATGGTTACCTATTTCGGGAGAACCAATTATAAAAGAATTTTAGATGATAGGCGCAGATCACTTGAACAAATTAACTTTTGCGCATCCAAGTAATAAACTTTTCGATATATTAAATTTAAACTACATCATAATCTATCATTTTTTAATGAATAGAATGGAGGGAGAACTGGAAGCGCTTCGTGGCGAGAACGTCCTTTTCCATTTGTTTTATTTATCTATTTAGTGGCTTACTTAGATTTATCTAATCTTTTCCATATAATTTTTAAATTATTAATTAGGTAACGAATGGAAATGTTGCGGATGACGAATGATTTCTTCCATTTCACCATCTTCAGGTGGTAAATGAAAATGTTTTAAAATTTTTTTACGACGTATGTGCACTATAAAGACCCGAATGTTCAGATTAATTTAACAATAAAAGTAAAACGATTTATATATTTGCCAATAATGATTTAATTTCGACAACTGCATCATAACGAGTTCAATCCTTCTAATGATTTTGAAAATGATGGATAAACGGAATTTTGAACCAAACCAACGTAAATCGTATTTGAATTCAAAACTATCATTTTAAAGTGTATATATTATATATAAATTGAAAAACTGACAATGTGAATGAATTTTTCATGTGAATTAGCTGTTACAATAACATAACGTCTGTCTGATTGACGCAGTAAAAATTCTTTTGGCTTTAACAGTCATGTTATGGCGTAAATAACGGTTATGTTACACCCATTCATTAAAAGATTTTTAACGAGAAAATTTTCTAAATTTTTTTGGGGGGCATCGCGGGAAATTTGCCAGATTTATGTCTTCAAACATATTATAAAGCTTTGTATTCTTGCACATTTGTAAATAAACGATGGAGTTACTCATCTATTCCAGTATTATGGGCAAATCCGTTCGAGCTGATCAAAAATCTGTAACTTTTTAAACCTTTATTAAATACTTATCTTTATTTTTTACCCCAAAATCATTTACAAAAACTTGAAATCAAATCGAAAACAATGATGTCCCTTTAATTATCCTGTATTCTTTCGTCATATGAATTTATTATTAATTTTTCGTGGAATAGAATATTGGAGTCAAAAAGAACCGACATATGAAGAAGAATCATGTGATGCTTACAGAAAGAAGTTCAAATTGGTTGAATATTTATTTTATTCATTCTTTTAAATTGACACACTCGTACGTAATTCGTAATTTTTCTTATTTTGACATTTTAGACCTTTTTGGCTCTAGAAACGTTCTTTCAAAAGTTCCAATAAATAGAAATTATAGAGATTATAGAGATAAAAAAATTAAAATATAAGCCAAAAATCAGCCAATATATATTTATGGGTGGTTATGAACCTCAACAATCTGATATTACATTACAAAGATATATCTTATTCTAATTTATTCCTTTTTTATATTTTAATATTCGTAATTTATTTTGTATGACGCCACGAATATATGACACGCTTGCATCATTACATAATACATAACAATTAAAATACTAGAATAATAATAATAATAAAGTATATATATTATCGTTTTTCAAAGACAAATAAATAGATAACTTTATAACGATTGCGCCAAATCACAGAACGGTAACACCTCCATAAGTGCATGTGACTTATATGGTTCTTCGGTAAATAATCCCAAAGATTCACAAAATAATAAGACGATGTGCTATAGGATCCAATAATATTTTATCGTCTTTATTTACAACGCAAGAAACCGCCGCGACGAGATCTTTCATTGGAATTCCTGCATTGATTAAAGCAATCGTAGTTGCATTTATTGCAGCTGATCAATTAAGGATCAAAATTCAGTAAAAAATCATATAAATATATATATGTATAACTTTCATAATATCAAAGAATAAAAAAATTTAACAAATATTTATTTACACTCCCATCATCCATCATCACTTGTGAAACAATTTGAATTTGTGTCCCTGAGCTTCTCAAATGTTGAACGTAAAATATATTCATGAGTTTTATCCTTTGTCCTGTATTTAAATAATCAATTCATTTAAAATGCAAGTTACCTGTTGCATCAACTAAAGGTCTAACCAGCACATCAATGGTGGCTTTATCCAATTTTTCGTCTCTTAATTTAACTTCAGCTGGACCATTTATTGAACAAAGTACGGAAGAATTGCCTAAAAGTAATGGCTATTAACTTGGAAATAAAGCCAAGGAAAATTACCGAAATTAAATCTGAGACTTAAATGTTATCAACATTATTGATTATCTCGAAGACCAATGAAAAGATATAAAATAATAACGAGTTCTTTCAAAAAACGAGTTCAAACCAATCAAACGAAAATTCCTCAGGAACACGTTTATCACCATATAATGGACAATTATTGATTTCTACTGGAGTACCATCACTTGATGATATCCTTTCAATGATGAACGACTTGATAATTATTAGTTATACCTTGCTTGGATTTTTATTCAAACATATTCTTGGTCAATCGGAAGTGTATTATTAATAAAAGGGTTCGACACGACATACAAAATCAATTCCTCGGATAATGCACTATTGACATTAATTAATGTAAATGAATTAAACGAGAATTCATATCATACACTTTTAGATAGAATACGCAACGTCATTGAAGAAAATCATTTGAATTCTTTGTTAGTGCCACCTTCAAATGATGAAAGAAAGTAAGTTAGTTATCTTTTTCTATTCAAATTTTCTTGGATAACATTAATGTAGTCATTCATTATTCTTTTAGGATATTTTTGCATTCTTGCACGCTTTACGTGGTTTGTTAAGATTTCATTCGGTGCAGCTGTATTACAATTCCGGATTATCTATATTTATCATCATCTTCAGAACCGTGTTCGTTCATTAGAAGAATTGAACACGTGTGATGCAGTTGTTGAAGTTGAATCATTTGCAGGTAGTTATTCAAGATATACAAATTGTTATGAAATCATTTTCCTGTTTTAATCGGGGGTTTTTTTGCGTAGGATCCCCTGCAACTAATAATGCAATTTATAGTGCCACATATCATTAATTCATCTACAAATTATCAGTATTATCAAGTGGTAGTGGAAATAATCTAGGATTTAAATTATGTCGTAAAAATTTACTATTGAAACTTTTCATCTACCACCTGAAGGTATTGGTAGTAGGAAGAAATGTTGATCCATATGATTTCTAATTAAACGACATTCTGTTAATTTAGTAATGCGGGTAAACTTAGGAAGGATTATTTAATTTACAATGAGGCTTTATTAATTTTATTATAATATTTTGGTTCGGTTTTTTTTTATTAACCTTTAAATAAAGAATTAATTGATAAATATTTCAAATTTATGAAAATAATTTCTGAATTTTGTTTTTAAATAAAAATAATTCAAAAAGATGTTGAAATAGGAGAGAGAAATTAATCAAATCATTCGTCATCCACAATATTTCCATTCGTTACCTAATTAATAATTTAAAAAATTATATGGAAAAGATTAGATAAATCTAAGTAAGCCACTAAATAGATAAATAAAACAAAAGGAAAAGGACGTTCTCGCTAGTGCGAGGCCACGAAGCG